AAGAGTATCAAAGCACTATAACTGTGATCAGTTACCAAAAAACATAAGTCCTCAAACTTCTTGGATCAACAGTAGTGGAGACTATAAATTGATAGTGAAGTAAATGTTAATTGCTAAAAAAGAAGTTCCTAATGTTTCATCAGATCCCAACAAGTCTTTGCTAGAAAATAAATTAAAACTATTATTGGTGACATTAATACATAAACATGCATAACTTTTCACCAAATTCACAGCATACTGTCATATAAAAACGTACCACTTTAAGGTTTATTTCCCTAAAAAGATTATTCCAGTCATACCCTCTCAGGAAGGAGTCTAAAAATGCACATAAGCATGAATTTTGCTATCCTCTTTTATCAGTGTTCATTGTTTAGTAATAAACATTCTTAGGAAGCTGACAGGGTGTAGAAATGGTTATTCTATGTCCACTATCCATACAGGTTTCTCTAGACCAGTGGTTTTTCAACTGGGGAAAACTTTGTACCCCCCAAGGGACATCTGGCAATGTCTAGAGACATTTTTCACTGTCAAAACTTGTTGAGGGAAGGGGATGCTACTGGCATCTAGTGAGTAGAGGTCTGAGATGCTGTAAAACAACCTAAAATACACAGGACAGCCCCCAATGACAAAGAATTATCCAACCCAAATGATAACACTGCTAAGAGGCCCTGTTCTACACATAGCACAAAGTTCTTAGTTTCCAATTACCTTACTCCTGAAGGAGACTTTTTTGAAGTATAGCTCATTTATATATATATATATATATATACACACACACACACATACATATATGTACATATGCACAGTCATGTGTTGCTTAATAACATGAATATGTTCTGAGAAATGTGTTAGGCAATTTCATCACTGTGCAAACATCATAGAGTGTACTTACACAAATCTAGATGGTAGAACCTACTACATACCTAGGCGATATGGCCCAGCCTATTGCTCCTAGGCTACAAACCTGTACAGCACGCGACTGTATTAAATACTGTATTGTAACACAGTGGTATTTGTGTATCTAACCATATCTAAACACAGAAAAGGTACAGTAAAAATACATTATAATATAATCTACAGGGCAACCATTGTATATGTGGTCCATCATTGACTAAAATATTGTTAATACGGTGCATGACTGTATATAATATTAATATATAAAAAGATACTTGTGGCCAGGCGCAGTGGCTCACAA